AGCGTGATCATTCCCTCCATGGGCCCTGGAGCTGAACCTGAGCTCGGCTGCACGTGGGGCGTGGTGCGTGTGGGGGCTCGAGCGTGCCAGAGGAGCTGCATGCACTCCTGCTCCTGTCCCTGTGGGGTCTCTCTCCTGGTAGGACCGCTGCTACCTCCTGGGCACCATCAGGCCAGCCCCTGTGGCATGAGGGAGGCTTCTGCTGGGCAGCTTCCTGAGAACAGCGCCCGGCCCTGGGGGAGCAGCAGGAGAGGTCCCTCCTTAGCCTCTGAGGCCCTGAAACCCCTGCCCTGGCAGGCAGCCCTGTCGGCGGTCAGCCACGGGTTTTGAGTCTCATTTGCTACCTGCTGAGCTCACTCTTACCTGAACTCACTCTTAAGCATGAAATAAAGCAGGCTCGCAGGCAGGCCACTTGTCTGCAAGGTGCCACTGGCCAGCGTGGGGACAGTGGAGGACTCCTCACCTGCCCAGGGCTCTCTCACTCCGCTCCAGCCGCGGGCCGCACAGCACCCTCCGGCCAGGCCTGCTTCCTAGCACTCACACCAGCCCTGCACCCTGGTCTCCACCGCGGAGATGAACTGTGTGCTCTCGGAAGCCAGCCAGACACCAGAGCAACTCGGAGCCCCCGCGCCGCAGGGTCTGTGTAAAGGGCTGTGCTGTCAGCTGCCCAGTGCCATCCCGAGAAGCCGTGGCTTTGGCAACTTTCCCACAGAGCACCAGAGAAGGGGTACCCCGGGGCTGTCCTCTCCATGAAGGCCTCTGAGTAAGGCTGGCTTTTCTCTTTGGTGGTGAGATTTGCATCTGGCTGCGGAGGCTGGAGCTTCGAGACGTTGACCAGGGGGCACCTGACAACCTTCCTCCCAGGGACCAAAAAGGACACAAGTGGCTCCCAGTGCTGTCGTAAAGGCAGGGTTGCATTCGGAATGGCTTTTGCTGATTGGTGCTCCCTGGCCCTGAACACCTGCAGAGAACATACCTGGCTGAGGGCCGAGGGGGCTCCAGGACGTGGCGACCAAGGAGGCACCTGGCAGCGGGCAGTGAGGGGCCCGAGGCACCCAGAGCTCCAGATCATTAACTGAAAAATGTCATCGCCACGTCCCTGGCACTGTGAGGAGGCAGCTCCTGAGGTGAAATCCGCTTGTTCGACCCGCATTATTGAGCATCGACATACGCAACGAGCCTGCAAGGACCGGGAGCACAAAGCCGGAGAGGACCTCCCTGGGCCAGGGCTGGCAGGAGGGACGGTGTGGCAGGCAGAGCCACCCAGCCAACGTGGCCTGGGAGGGAGGCGACAGGGCAAGCTTCACAGCACGTGCGCTTAGCCTGGGTCTTGAAGGAGATGCTGGGCCTAACTGGGAGGCGGGAAGGCATTCTCGACTTTGGGGGCCGCCTAACCCGACTCCCAGGTGTGATCTGCCCAGCGTGCGTCAGGGCAGCTGGCCGTCAGGTGGTCGAGGCCCTGAGCCTCCGAGTAAGCTGGGTTTGAACTGTAGGCTGGACATTTCTGCAAGGGTCGAGGAAGCGGTCAGGGAAAGGCCCAGATGAACACGAGGGCAGCAACGGAAAGCGTGGAGCCCGGGGGCCAGTCGGCAGCCGTGTCTGCCCACCACCTCAGAGGCCACTGCTGTGACCTGCCGTGTTATGGAAGAACCTGTCCTGTAGGAAAAGGGGCACGTGACAGGCCAGGTGTCCCAGGCAGAGCTGGGCAAGCCTAGGGTGCACAATGCCTGCCATGCCAGCTGGGATCTTCCCAGAGGGTGCCAGCTGGGCAGGGAGAGCCCCGGCCCTGAGAGTGACGGGGTTTTCCAGGAAGGGCCACCTGGTGATGTGAGGAGCGAGCCTGGCTCCAGGGTGGCTTCAAGGACGAGCCTGCGTGCTCGAAGAGCAGCCTTGACTACAGCACGGGAGCGCCTTCTGATGGGCGGGGCCTGGGCTGCATGTGCTGGGCAGGTCACCCGATGGCTGGTCCAGGCAGGCCCGTCTGCTGAAGGCCCCGCAGCCCCTTCTCAGGCGTTCCCTGCCGAGGGTCCCTGGAGAAGTCTCTCTCAAGCCCCTTAATCCTTTGCCTGCCGACCTCCCAGGTGCGGGACTGACTCCATCCGGCCAGTCCCCACCGGGCATCTGGGAGAAGCACCTGGCAGCTAAGCCATGTGTGTCCTCCGTTTACCACCTGGGACACCAGGCGAAGTGTGCGTCGGCCTCGCCGTCGGTGCCACTCGAGGGGTGGTCTCGCTCCGAAGGCAGGAGAAACCCCCGGGCTGTGTCACGTGTGTCTGTGTCGCACAGCGTGAGCACGGGGCTGTGCCAGGTGGGCCATCCCTGAGCCCGACCCACCGAAACAACTGAGCAGGGACCGCACCTCGGGGGAGAGTCCCAGCCAGTCCCACTACTCGGGGTGGGGGGTGGACTAGTTTTTTCATTTAGAGAAGTAGTACCCAGAGAACTTTCACCACACTGGGAAGCACAAAGAAGAGAAAGCTTCATCGCCCATGATGCCGCACTCAGTAACAATCGTTCACTGCGGCAGGCGTGTGTGTGTGAGGGCTACATAGCAGGGTCTCCGTGTGACGACACAGACTGCACACATACACTGCTCACACTATGTGTGTATGCACGTGTCCTGCACTCACATGCATACACACACGCTGTGCTCAGATAGTACATACACGCGAATACTATGCAGGCACCTGGCATACTGGACTCGTACTATCACACACATGTGCACAGGCAGATATGTGGTACACACATGCACACACTCATGCACACACACATACATGCTATAGTTTCTGCACACACGGGCACACACACTATGCATATCTCCCACAGATGTGTATACACATGGTACACTGTACATGTGCACAGTCTGCACACACAGACACATACACATGTGCACACACTGCACACACTCCCCCACAGACACACATACATAAGGCACACACATATGCACACGCTGCACACAGAGATACATATACACATGATACACTACACACATGTGCACACACTGCACACAGACATGGAAGACATGCCACACTACACACGTGCACACACTGCACACAGAGACACATGATACACATGCCATGCAGTACACATATGCACACACTGTACACAGACACACAACACACACACCACACCATACATGTGTGCACACTGCACACACAGACACACAATACACATGGCACACTGTACACGTGTGCACGCACTGCACACAGACAATACACACACCACACCGTACATGTGTGCACACTGCACACACAGACACACAATACACATGGCACACTGTACATGTGCACACACTGCACACACAGACACACTATACACACGTCACACTGTACACGTGTGCACACTGCACACAGACACACAATACACAGAGCACACGGTACACGTGTGCACATGCTGCACACACTTGAGCCTTCCCTGTCCGGTGTCTTTGCCATCGTGGTCGGTTGCTGCTGCTGCCCTTGCCCAGCGCTCCCATCCCGGCCCTGTCCCCCGGGTGCAGAGGCTGGGCCACCCTGCTGGGGAAGCCCCGCCCACTCACACCCGCCCACAGCACGGGGGTTGTGCCCTCCCTGCGTGGCGGTGGCCGCTGCCCTCACCTGGAGACGGGCGTCACGTAGTTCCCGGGGAACACCCCCGACACGCCGGTCCTCAGGGACGCGCCCTTGAACCAGCCGTCCTGGCACTTCTCCAGCACGCGGTACATCTCGCCCTTGCGCAGCTCCAGCTCGTCGCTCTTCTGGGGCTTGTAGGCGTAGAGCGCCAGGTACCTGCGGGGGCAGCGCCAGGGCCGGTTCAGCCTCTCGGGGCGAGGGGAGGGCAGCTGATGTCGGGGTGCTACAGTGCGCACGGGGCTCACGCACCCCTGGACCAACCCAATCCTACAGCCAAACCCGGGACGGGGAAGGGAGGCTGAGGCACCGCAGTGTCGCGACCTCCAGAGAATCGCCCCAGGAACTGCAGGAGGGGGCGGTGGCCGCCCGCAGGCCCAGGCCAGCGAGGACTCCCCGCCCACTGTCACACAGGGAAGCAGCTCAGGGGGCCGAGGGACGCTGAGGCCCTTGGAGGACTCTTCAGAGTCAGAAATGGGGGCCAGGTCTTGGAACCCCACAATTTTTTTCTGTTCCTGACACCATCTGAGCAAGAGAAAAGCTGAGGGGAGGTGGAGTGTGGGCTGGGCACGCCTGGACTGAGCGGTCCTCACTCACCCACCCCAGCCCACCTGGTCTGCCTGCCCTGCTGGCCAACCTGCTGGGGGGGCCTCGGGCCCTTCCACAGGAAAGGCGGGGACTAACTGACTTCTCCTTTTCTTTTAAGCTGTATTTGCAGACAAGGAAAGAACAGTCATGAAAATCCTGGTCGCTGGTGTAAAACACCTGACAGATGACACAGGGTTCCCTGCCCCAGGGCCTTCCGAGGACTGGATGACAGGTGGGCAAGTGCCCTGCTCCTGGGGGGCTGGGTGGCGGTTTCCAGCGATGGGGGATCAGCATCAGGCAACTACGCTTACGCACCAGGTTCAGCCAGGGCAGCTCAACAGAGAACAAGGACATGCTTCAAAAAGTGCACCTGTGGGCCTCCCACGGGCCAGCCCCTCGGTGGGTGTGCTGGCACCCCCTGGGACTATGTACTCTTGGGGCCCCTGCAGGACAGCAGGTCCCTGGGGGTGTGAGGGGCTCACAGACCCCCACCGCACCCTCCTGACTGGAGGTCTTCCTAGTAGGTAACCCAGACCTGGGACAGGTGCACTAGGTTTCGAGCAATTAAAATGAGGGCCAGTAAGGAAGATTCCAGAATGGAAAGGTTTCTCAGCCTTGAACAAAGTCTGCCTCCCCTGCCCCACACCTGAGTTTGACCAGCAAGCTCCTCTGCTTTTGTTTGCAGGTGCTTCTCTCGCCCCTCCCCTGCCCCAGGACATCCTGCACCTCCTTAGCATGAGCCAGCAGGGTCACACTGGGAACCCACGCCCAGACGCCCAGACCCAGACGAAGTGCGGAATTCTGTTGTCCTGTTTGCTCTCAGCCAGCCCTTCGATGGCCACAGAGGAGAGCCAGGGAGCTGCATTTGTAAGGCTGCAGCCCGCCCCAGTCCACTGCCTGTGTGCAGCACAGGGGGCTGCTTGGAGGGTGCAGGGCAGGGGAGGGCTGAGTCTGCACTGCTCGGGCTGAGACAGAGGAAGGAGGGAAGGAGAGGCAGGAGCAGCGGGGAGTCCGACATGGGAGGCCTGTGAACACATGAACGTGATGCAGGGCGTGTGTGCTGCTCTCGAGGAAGTGCACCTGCGTGTAAGTCCTGCTCCCAGTCACCCTGCACCGTCCCTTTGCGATGCCAGAACAACCTCTGGCTCTGTGGCCGGGAGCAGCATGCCCCGCCAGGGCAGAGGCTGCTCGGGCACGTGGGGCCACATGTGACTTCCTTGATCACGTTGCACTGCCCCTGCCTGTTCTGGGAGTAGCCCCAGGGCTCCTTATCCGGAGCAGGCTGAGGCTAGGCCCATCAGCCACTGTGGACGCCCAGTTCTGTCCCCGCAGCTCCCGGTCCTGTGTGGAGCCCTGACAGGACAGTGGAGTGGCAGCTGGCCTGGGCTCTGCTGGAACCCATGTTCCACAGTGGCCTGTGGGTGGCGGCCCTGACTTGGGTGGTCCCTACTCCTCCCACTGGCTGTGGGACACTTGAGCATGACAGGGCGGAGGGAGGCCACTGTGTCTGGAGCAGAGCTCACAGGTTCCCCACGTAGCCGCAGAGCACAGGCCTCCCAGGTGAGCTCTGGAACCCACTGCACTGCCCCAGGGCCCGCGCTCCTCGCTGGAGCTCCGCTGCACGGGGCCCTTCCACACATGGTCCCGAGGCGGCTGCCCTGAGGAGGACATAGAAGGCAGATCCCTCCTCTTCCTCACTCGTCTCCACCTTCTCATCACAAGCGCGGGGTCTGAGGGGCTCCGTGGCTGTGTTCTCTCAGGACAGAGATGTCTCTGAGCAGAGCCCCTCTCCTTGCAGGGATCCAGGCACCCGTAGCCCCTGCTGACCTGGGTCTGTCGGCCTCTAGGGAGGGCGAGGTGCAGGTGAAGAGCCTAGGCTGGAAGGCGCTTGGAGGACGGGCCACAAAGCCGTGCGAGTCCTCCTCCAAGGCCACCTCCAAGCCCCAGGCAGCTGCCCTTCCATCTGGCCTCCACGCCGCATGCCCGTGAGGCAGGCTTCCCTGAGTGCTCGCTGCCCTCCCCAGCGCCGACAGAGGGTCTGGCCCACGGGGCAGCTTTTTAATTAATAAGCGTTGAAAGAAAAATAAAATAGGGCCCTGGTTGTGAGATTCAGACTGGTGAGGGGAAGTGTGTGCGTGCGTGTGCGTGCTCTGGGCGTGTCGCACACGTGGGAGAGCAGAGTGACTGACAGGGAACCGCTGTGGGCTGCTCCCTGGAGCAGGAGGCACCTGTCTCAGAGCCGCCTGCCAAACTAGGAGCCGTCCAGAGAGGGCAGCCCATTGGTGGCCTTGAGGCTGGACGCACCTGCCCACTCCTGGCCCAGTGAGCAGATGAGTCAGACCCGGCTTCCTCAGATGCCACACCCCGTTAGTAGCCGGGATAAACACTCACAGACACGGGGCCCGGGGAGGGGTACGGCAGGAATGAACACTGCAGGGCTGACCCACGTGGGGAGGTTCTGGGCTCGTGTCTGCAGACCTCCCTGCTCGCACCGGGCACATGCACATGCACGCCCACGAGCTGGGACCCCTGAAGCTGGGAGTCAACCGTGGTGTCAAGACCCTGTTGGGGATGGCTGGCTGTCTCTCTGTCTCTAATGGAAAAAATAAATACACTTGAAAAAACACCACCGACCATCTGAACCGTTTGACAGACATGTTTGTGACCCTGGGGGAGTAGCCAGCAAACAACACAAGGTTAATTACCTCTGGGGAGTGAACTGATCACCCTTCACTCAATATGCTGAAACCCGGTGTCATTTAACGGGACAAGGACTTTGTGCAGACTTCTCAGCATAAAAGGGCATTTCTATCCTTCTTGTCAAAATAAAAATGATTCTTGATCATCTTAAGACCTTTAAGTCAGAAAAGGATTCTTTCACGATCCCATTTTTACTTTAAAACAACGCAGACTCAGTTTCTAGTGAAGTAATAATGGGAGGAGAATGGAAAAGCCGGGGGTGAAGCCGGCGGTGCCTCAGTTGCCCCCACGGCCTGGGAGCAGGGACGCGCCCTTCCTCACGTCCTTCGCCGGGTCTGCTGAGACGCGGCGGCTGGCTTTACGGAGCGGTGGCCTCGGCTTCCCGGCTGCTTTAAGCCCTCACACGGAGGCCTAGCTTCCCGACAGCAGGGGGTCTCAGGCAGGGTGCGTATCCAGTGCACAGCGACACGACACCCCGGCCCCCGGGCCAGCGTCCTTTCCAGACTGTCACCCCTGGGACGGCAGGCCGCTCGCTCTCTCTCCGTGCACCGTCGCCAACTGACTTACAGGGCTGCTACGCTGGGGGCAGGACAGCAGCACAGAGCTGGGTCCATCCTGCCGGAGCTGGCCACCAGGCGAGCTGGGACAAGGGGAGGACAGGAACACACGTGTGCCGTGTGCCAGGCACACGCAGGAGCCTGCTGTGGGGAGGGATCTGCCGTGCTGCCATGATGGGCACCGGCCTGGCGCCCGAGGCTGCAGCTCGGCCCAGGGATTTCGTGGGGCACCGTGTGGTACCCAGGACCCCGCGGGGCATACACAGTGAGAGGGTGCTGGGTCAGGGATGCCCGTGTCCTGAGCCCAGGTCCGGCATGGCTGGCACCCTAGGAGGCACTGCCCGGTGTGCCCGTGCCGCCGCGCCTTGCCCGCTTGAGTTCTGTGCCCGCCCTGCCCGTGAGCCAGCCTCCTGTGGCCTCGGATGTCAGGCGGGGCTCTGGCGTGCGTTGCTGGGGAAGGGAGACGGCAGTCAGCCGGACTTCACCACAGAACGGCTCACCTCCTCCTTGCCCTGCGGGTGCCTCAGAGGGGGCACCACGGGCAGAAGGCCGGCTGGGGGTGCCCTTTGCAGAGCCTGTACTCTGACACACGCTATGCTGGGGGACGGGGCGTGGATGGAGGGGCTGCTTTCTTTCAGGATGACTCAAGAGCAAGCACTGGAGTCATCTGAACTCCGAGAACAGGCCATCCCAACCTGCTGCTCCAGCTCCTGGGCACCTGCAGCTCCCAGGTGCCCATGACAGCCAGGGAGGCAGACCCCCTTCCTCCATGACTGTGCAGCAGCTCCGGGAGAGCTGGGCGGCACCCAGGCCCACAGGGCTCACACCCCGGGGCACCTCCGCAGGGCCTGGTCCGCATCCTCCTGGCTCCCAGGCTCAACTCTCACTTCCCATTTGTTCTATCTATTATAAAACCAAAATGATTTTAATTGTCAGAGGATGAGAATGCTGGCCAGAGAGAAACAGAGGGCAAAAGCACCTCTCAGAGGAATGTGGTCACGTCAAATCCCTTGTCCTCTCTTTCTCCATCCTTTTGGGGTGTTGGGCACATGACACGCACGTCACCACTGGGACCAGGATTGGAACGAGTCGGCCATGCGGAATCCAGCCCCCTTAGCCACTAGTCTGTGGGGCCAACCGTGCCAATTGGCTTTTCTAAAGCGTATTTATACCTTCCTTGAGAGAGAGACAGGCACCTCCACAGGGTCTTCACACCACAGTTCCCTGTAGGCTCACACGCACGTGTACGCATGCTCGTGTTCACATGCACGTGTACACAGGGAGGCCTCTGGACTCAACCCAAGGCCTCCCAAAGAATCCACTTGCATTGACACTGCATCACCATCTGACCCCTCTGTGTGCTTTAAAAGGCTTTGGCAGCTTAATGCAGGCCTCCTAGGACAGCCCTTGGAGGGTGGTGGGGAGGGACCCTCTGACGGGGCTAGACTAGTTGGGCCACCCTCCGTGCTCAGAAATTACCTCAGCAGATTCCCACACAGAGGCCAGTAACTGAAATACCATTACGGGAACCTCAGGGAGCCTCTTCACCTCCACCCCACAGCCTGCACGGGCTTCGGTGACAAGTCGATGAAGGTGCTCCTACGAGCAGGTGTGCAGCTGGCACTGCATCGGAGTCAGAGGTCGGCCCTGCGTCCCTGCCCCCAGTGCTGGTGCACAGACCCACGTGCCAGTGCGAGGATCATGGCCCATCTTCGTGCATCTGTGCCAGCAATACCTTCTACATGCCAGAACACTGTCACCCACCAGTGGGGCCAGAGAGACCACGCCTCTTAGTCACGAGGCTCTTTTTCAAGGCCCATGACCTGGCCTGAGGATGTCTGAGCCCTGCAGTATGAGGACGGTGGGGTGAGGGTCCCCTGGGGCAGTCCGACACCGACGTTGCAGTAGCCGCCGGCCCAGGCCATCACCTCCGCAGGCCCCGATGCACGGCTGCGGCTTCTGTGAGGTATCCCAGCCGTGTTCAACTTCGGGACTTGAACATGGCCCGAGACGCTCAAAAAACACCTGTGCCCCTGCCCCTGACCCCTTCCAGGGACACAGGCAGGGGACCGCCAGTGTATCACAGCTAATGGCCCTCGTCCTGCTATTACTTGGGAAGCTACTCCAGGGCCACCCGCTGTGGACATCGGGCCCCTTCCCTCCTGGCTTAAAGGGAGAGCGAGCTTGCACCGCACGCTGAGCTGCTCCAGGGCAGCCCCCAGAGGCCAGGCAGGTTGCTCTCCCTAAAGGCCCCTTTCTTTGCTCGGAAGGCACCCCATTCTGCAGCTCCGCAGGGTCTGAGCGGCCCCGCGGCCCCGGGGCCCCGCGACCCCGCCGACCGAGGGACCCACTGTTTCCAATTCACATGCTCCACATTGAGACATTTGTTCAGGGGCTGAACTCACCGCCGAGTGAGACGGCAGAAGGCAGTCTAATTTTTCAGAGCACTGTGTAATGGGGAGGTTTTAAACTAAGAGCTCCATCCTGCAGCCCCGCAGGGTCTGAGCGGCCCCGCGGCCCCGGGGCCCCGCGGCCCCGCGACCCCGCCGACCGTGGGACCCACTGTTTCCAATTCACATGCTCCACATTGAGACATTTGTTCAGGGGCTGAACTCACTGCCGAGTGAGACGGCAGAAGGCAGTCTAATTTTTCAGAGCACTGTGTAATGGGGAGGTTTTAAACTAAGAGCTGTAATTTAACGGAGCAGATTTTCTAAGAGAGAGAAGTATCTCACTTCCGACAGTGACTCATCGGTCGTGCCCGGACGGTGCGCAGCTGTGCGCGCTGCCTGGCAGTCGGCTGCTTCAAACGCCGAGCCAGCCCAGGGTGGAGTTGCTGGCGGCCAAGCAGGCTCCCGAGGTCACCTGCTGCTCCGGCCCCCCACCAGGCCTTCCCCAGACCTCTGCCCCGGGCTCCAGCGGGCCGCTTCCTGACTGGGAGCGCCTGGGCATCACCTTTCTCGAACATCCCCGCTGCTCACAACAGCAGTCCTGGGGACAGTGACACCCACAGAACCTCCAGCAGCCTCATCGGGTGCCACTACCACAGAGGAACCTGCTAGGCTCTGGTTCCCACACTTCATCCAGCAGCCTCATCGGGTGCCACTACCACAGGGCACCAGGAGCCACGGGAAACCCCAGTAGAGACCACGCGTGGAAGCTAGCAGGGCTGGGTGGGGCCGTGGAAGGCGGGCAGCTTACACGTTGAGGGGCAGCTGGACTTTGGGAGACGTGCCCTGTTCTCCGGCCACTGCAGCAGCTCTCGGCATGGCCGTAGGGGCTGGTCCGCCCACGGAGGAGTCCTGGAAAGAGACAAGAGGAGACGGTGAGGACACAGCCGTCCAGGGACAGTGGAGCGGGAGACGGTGAGGAGACAGCTGTTCAGGGACGGTGGAGCGTGGTCTGGCTGCGCCGTTGGCATCTGCTCCCCGCCAGCTGCCTGTCTCTGGACCGCCAACATTACAAGGCTGTGCTGGCTGGGGTAGTGACGTTTCTGCCGCCCCTGCATGGTTTGGTGGCCAAGGACATCTGTCTGTCCCCCAGGAGGGTCCCAAGATCCCCTTCTGTCCTCCAGCCTGTGTCCAGACAGTCAGGATCGCACTGCGGTCAATGCGGGGAGGGCGCATCGTGAGTCCTGGTTCCAGTCTCAGAACCTGAATTATTCTCACGTTCATCAAAGAAAGTCCAGACAAAACCTTTCACACTATGACGCATGAGCTTACGTGAAAACAATGCCCACGGAATGGGAGACGAGCCCCTGCCTGGCAGGAGACAGGGTGGCTGCTGCAGGACACAAGGCGAGGCACCTCCCCTGGAGGCGCTGACGGTGCGAAGCGTGGTGGGCCCCTCATGCAGGAAGTGCTCGACCACAGTAGCTCCTGGAGTCAGCTGTCTGCCGAGCTCCCGGGGACATGCGTGAGGGCCAAGCAGAGGGAGCTGGTGGCCAGGAAACCCTCACAAGAGACTCCTCAGCCCCATCGTCAGGGTGACGCAGTCCCCAGGTGCCTCACACCCGCTGGCCGACCAGGACCCTCTCTAGGGCAGCTGTCTTCCTGCCGACAGCAGACAGCCAAGTGGCCGAACTGGGTCACCTTCTGCGGCCTGTCCCAGCCCTGGCCACGGGTACCTGAATGCGACCTGCTCTGGACTTAGGGTCTCTGCAGACATAGTACGGGATAAAGATCCCAAGAGAGATAACTCCTGATCCAAGTGACCTGGGAGACCTGGAAGCAGAGGGCAGGGAGTATGAGGCAGGAGCAGTGCCCACAGCCAGGACTGCCAAGCACAGGTCTGAGATATGTCCCCAAACCCCAGCCTCT